CCATTATCTTCATTCAGTCATCCAACAAATTGTTATTGAGCACCTACTGTGTGCCAGGAGCTGTAATAGGCAGGATCTGTCATAGGCCAGATCTGGTGAGCCATTTATCCCGAGCATCATATCCATAAAGGGCTTATAATGTCGATTTTTAAAATATTATCTCTAAATAATAGATATACAGTGATAGAAATATATTTACAGGATTAAACCTCAAGGCATACCACAATTTTTAATCCTATTTTTGTCGATTAAAAAAAAAAAAAATATATATATATATATATATGTACATACAAGATACAAGTCCTCCTAGTCCCATCCATGGAAGTGATCCAGGTCATTCTTATTCTCTGTGGGTACTGCTGGGCATTTAAGAGAAAGCAAACAAGCCAGTTCTTGCACCTGCCCTCACAGGACTTATTGCTTAGTGAGGAGAAAGAAATCAAACAAGGACACATATCAAACTGATAACTGTAGTTACCCCAGGGGATGGGAAGAGCTTAACATGAGGCTGAGTAGTCAAGCAAAGCTTTCACTTTCCCTGAGGTGTTTGAATTTTTACAATATGGACATATCATGTATTCCTTGTGCAGTTGTCATCCATTTCTACATCAGGTATATTATTAAGAGAAGAATAGCCAGGAAGGGACCAGAGGACCATGCTGGCCCAACTGAGGTTGGCTTCGATGCCAAGGAAGCGAGAATGAGTGAAACACCAAGTTGCCAGAGCTGACTGGGTTGATCTGGGGCTAAAATGGCCACACACAACATTGTGGTGACTGTTGCCCACATGCCCTGTGGGAAGAACTGCCAGGCTTGGATGCAAGGCTTCTCTTCCCTGGAATCGCTACTGGCTTCATCACCTTCTGACCCCACAACTGGAATGACTTATGTTCACACACTGAGTAACATGGATGATCAACGTGTTACTCTCACTCTGGTTTGAAACTTGTCTTTTCAGGAAAAGCAATAAATCTCACCAGCAGATGCCAAATGCCCCTCAGCTGAATCACAGCTACCTCGTCTAGACTGAAATGTCTCATTTCTATTTTGTCAAACTGATTGTATCTTGCCGGTGACTGTTAACGTGATAACCCATAAGGACTCCAAACAGTCCCAAGAACAACAGAACAATCCCTGCTAACCAGCTTAACCCTCTAGGAAAGCCTGACCACATATAAACGACCCCAGATATGCTAGGGAAAAAAGAGCAGAGTTCATGGAAATAACGCTAGCAGATCCATGCACATTCTGTTAATGACAGACTAGGCAGTTATGACAGACAAATTTGGAGTAAAATATTTCCTTACACTGTCATTCTTTTCAATTTTCTGATTATATTGAGATACATTCAGATGACATGGCTTTTACAGAACAGAGGCATGACCAGTGACTGATCATTCTATAATGCTTCTAAACAGAGCAATTATGTGTAAGCGTACACGTGTGTACTATTTTGTTTTACTATGGCAGGGTGTATTTTAATTGGAGTGTTCACTGTTAGGAATATGTGCATATGTAAAAGCCAGCATGGACAAATGCAATCAAATGCAACCCTGCAGGAGGAGGAGAGGTAGCAGAGGGAAGGCTTCCTGCAGAGGATGTCCTGTCTGAGCTCTGTTCCAGAAGTCAGTGGGAGCTTGCATGGAGGATTAGAGCTGCCAGATAAAACAAAGACTCGAGTTCAATTTGAATTTCAGATAAACAGTGAAGGACTTTTTAGTACAGGTATGTCCTAAATTTGCACAGGTGTTCTGTATTTTTATTTGCTAAATCAGGCAATCCAAATGGTGGGGGAGAGGCAGACACTGCTAGCCATCTTTCCTTCTTTGTCATGAATATTGTCAACATCAGCATCAGTCAACATTCACAACACACAGAGAATGAGTTCTGTGCTATAGGGAAGCCCTGACAATCACTCCTCCTGCCTAAAACAGAACATGACTGTTTCTTCAACCACAGTCTCCTTGAGAACATACACTACACCTTCTTCAGGACCGAGGCCAGTGATTGGCATTTGGTAAGTGCTAAAAATACATTTTTGGGTAAATGAGAAAATGATATAGAATGTTAGTAAAGGGAAGAAATCTGGGGTGAGAGGGCTAAAAATGACAAAACCACACATAGCAGAAAACACAGGGAACTTTTAGACAGTTGACAATGGCCAAGTCTGCAGCCAACTCTCCTATCTATGAGCAGAACTGCTTACCACACTAAGGCAATAGAACAACTTCTTAGCTCAGTACCTCTGAGCTGGCTCAAACTAGTGCAAAGTAGACTAAGCACCATGGGCAAGTTATAGGGAGGCAGGGGGGTGTACCAAATTGGGAGATCAACACTGGTACAATTATCTCTTTTTAAAAACTCATAGCTAAAGAGGAAAGGGCATTGTAAAAGCAGATAGAAGAACAAGAAGCGCTTTTGTTGGGATAGTTCAAGAAATTTTAGGTAGAAGAAATTATATGAGGTATGTAAAAAGGTGAGATTCCTCAGAGATGCTTTGCACTTTATAGACTCGTGTGTGTGTGTGTGTGTGTGTGTGTGTGTGTGTGTGTGTGTATGTGTGTGTGTGTGGTCATAAGTATACACATATATGCATAAACTTTTTTAATTAAAAAGCTGCAAGATTGTACACTACCACATACTGTATGTCATTAGTATCAACTGATTGGAACTGAACCTTAGAAAAAATTAACATTTCCTTTTGAAACTCTAGAGTGGAAAAGTTTAAGTAAATAAAGTAATATTGATTCCATTTCAGATGTATACTTGCAATAATTTTTTTTAATGTACCATCTTTTAAAAACAGCTTTGGCTAATTAAATAAGAAACATTTGCTGACTACAGAGAGCTTTTAAAATCTGGGTAAATAAAAATAGAAAAATAAAAATTACCCATTATTCTTCCAGTCAGAGATAATGACATAATTTTTAGCATGTATACATCAAGATTTTTTCTTTACATCTATGTCTATATTTTTCAAAAATGGTATCAGATTCTACATTCCACCATGTAAACTTGTTTAAAACTTGCAAGTGTATCTATCTAAGTGACCAAATATATTCCCACATATAATTTTCAGTGCTTGCATCTAAGTTTTCTACTGATGGCTTACTTAGCCAACTATCTATGGCTGAACATTTAACTTGTTTTCCATCTTTTCCTAAGATAAACTTCCTTACAGCTAAGTTTTTAAAGACGTATCATTATTTCTGGTGAATAAATTCCTAATGGAAGAATTGCTGAGTCAAAGACTATGTTACATTTTTAAGGTTTCTGATCCCTATCGCTATTTTGCTCTCTAAGAAGGTTGTGTCAATATATAATCCCATATAAATTGGGATATTATTTTTCTAATATTTTTCAAAGTTAGTCCCCTTGAGAAATCTGTCCATGAAATCAGAATTTATCTAGATAGAGCATTTGGAGTAATAATATATGTGATGTTTTCTTTTTATAGGAAATAATTCCCACAAGCCAGGATTTTAAGCTATTTCACTTACCCACAATTAGCCTTTGGAGCAACCAAACTGACTTAGATAAGAATTCTGTAAGCCAAACTTTATACCAAAGTCTGCCATATTTGTGGAGCGTGGCTGCTTGTCAATCTAGAATGACTTTATTGAAAAGTAATGTATTTCTTTATGATAATAAAATAAGCTAGCTTTGTTTAATGACATCCCATTTTACTTTCCTGGAGGAAAGAATTAATTTGCCTTGGTCATAATCAGAGGAAGCTTATTTGGTCAAACAAAATAAAAACTACAATGGTGAATAGACATCAACACCACAGTAACATTGGCCCGAGTGCGAATTAGCTTGGCTAAAATGGGTGATTTCCTATTTATATACCTCCTCAATAAAAAATGAACACAGGAACAAACAAAAACCTTTGCAGAGTCCAGAACCACCAGGCAAGAAGAAAGACTAACCAACCAAAAGTTTCTGTTTGTTTGTTTTTGAGTCAGTCTTACTCTGGAGTGCAGTGGCATGATCGCCAGAACCACAGCCCACATCTGCTGGGCTCTGGCAATCCTTCTGCCTCAGCCTTCCAAGTTGCTGGGACTACAGGCATGCAGCACCATGCCTGGCTAAGTTTTTTATTTGTTACAGAGACAAGGTCTAGCCAAGTGCCCAGGCTGGTTTCGAACCCGTGGCCTCAGGCAATCCTCTCAGTTCCTCCTCCCAAAGCGCTGGGATTACAGGCATGAGCCACCATACCTGGCTAAAAGTTTAAACTATATCTAAAGGAAAAGAAACTATATGTTTAAATTATATCTAGGAGAAAAGAAAATGTATGATACTATAAGAGAGAAGCTAATGAAGGAGAAAAATATTCTCAAATATTCAGCCCTCTGGAGAAATTCTAAGAAAGATATATAAAATGCTAGGAGATGGATTTAACTAAAGGAAAAGATAGTTGGAGAATATCAACATTTTCTAATGCAACAGAAAACCAAGCTGGCTTAGCCTTCTACTTAATAAGTGCCATACTAAATTGACCAAATCCGTTCCTCTTTTTTTTTTGAGATCCAGAAAAATCAAATCAAAAGAAAAAAAATCCAACTAGAAGCTTATTTTAACAATATCGGAAAACCTTAAACTATATCATGCTCTGGTGACCTAGCAATCAAATAATCACAGTCGTTTGGTCAATGTCTGTGATTAACTCAGTGAGGGAGGATGTCTGGCTACAGGGCCAGGTAAAAAGATATTTTCATGAAGCCTCCCTCTCGCTGATGTAAAAGAGTTGAGTGAGTGAGTGTATGGAGTCACAGCTTTTGGCTTTCTGAAATACCCTGCTTCTGTCTTGTCATGATGATTCTTTAGTGCTGAGATGGATCATCCAGGCATCTAAGGTAATGCAATGGTAATGCTTTGCTCACTTTCCTCAAAACGATTTTTTAAAAAAGCACTTCCAAAGTCAGCACAGTCACCCAAAGTCAAAAAACCTCAGAGGCAAAGGAAAGGGGCCGTAACCCTGAGAACCATAAAATGACGAAATGAGAAAACTCCTCCCGCTGAAGATATCCAGGTATATGAAAGAGTCCTTAAGACATCACTATCAACCTTGGGTCTTGTGGATTTTTAGCTCACAAAAAAAAACAATCACCAAGCCCGACATGAATCAAAAGTGTAAGTGGCTCACGTTCCTCATGGGTCTGTTCATTACTGGCATCCTGTCTCTGGACTGTAACTTTCTGAATGTTCACCTGAGGAGAGTCACCTGGCAAAATTTGAGACTTCTGAGTAGCATGAGCAACTCATTTCCTGTAGAATGTCTAAGAGAAAGCAAAGCTTTTGCGCTTCTCCAAGAGAATCGATCATACACCCAGCCTATGAAGAGGGACATCAAACAGGCCTTCTACGTAATGTCCATGCAGGTCTTCAACATCTTCAGCCAACACACCTTCATATCCACCTGGAAACAGAAACATCTGAAGCAAATCCTAATGGGACTTGATCAGCAAGCAGAGTACGTGAAACAATGCTTGGAGGAAGAGGAAAAAGAAGACATGGAAGAAATGAATAAGGATGAGATGACACACTCAGGAACCGGGGTCTCCCAGCTGAGAGGCTTAGAACTGAGAAGATATTTCAACAGAATATACAACTTCCTAAAAGAAAAGAAATACAATCACTGTGCCTGGGAGCTTGTCCAGGTAGAAATCAGAAGGTGTTTATACTACTTTTACAAATTCACAGAACTACTCAGGAGGAAATAAGGTATGTTTTTTAAAATTAAAGTTACATTTTCCTCTGAACTCTCCTTCGCCTTTTCCTCCTCTTCATCTTCTTTTAAAGGATTATTGTGCTATCCTGTTTGCCTGTCCTCAGTTGGATTGGTGGTAGTTTGTGTAATGGTTGCTACCTGTATTGCTTGACATTGTCAGATCAGTCACGTTCACCTTTTTAAGGAGAGGTGATGCCAACTACCCCCTGGGTGGTCAAGAGTCTTATTAGAAAATCCTTAAGACAGGTTTAAAGGAACCAGATTCCCTCTCCATCTTCTATTTTTTCTTCCTCTTTTCTTTGGCCATATTGAATATGCTTTGCTCTGCTACCTTTGAACTTCATAAAGACAACAAAGTATAGGAGCAGAGAATGTTGCAGAATTTAACATTTCAATGACTTAACCCTCTTGCTGCCAAGGTTGTTTATTCAATGAAAGTTCAGCACATTTTAAAAAGCTTAAACAAGCTCCCTAGAGTCAATACCCTTTCTTTTCCCTCTTCCTATACAGAAAAAAAAAAAAGTTGACACTTCTGGTCCATTTGCTTCTCAGCTGGGTTTGTTTGAAATGATGTGGTTTGTAAAATGGTATTTCATTACTTTCAGAGAGTGAAGATCCTTAGTTGAAATTGAAGACCATTAAGCTCTCATTTAACCTTTGAGAGCCTATGATCCTAATGCATAGCACTCTTCATTCCTGATGTACATATATTGTTTTATTCCTATTTCTAAAGGCATGAAAAATGCTGCAGAAAAGTATAGTTCAGTATCTATCTTCCATGGTTCTTCATGTGCCTGGAATGAAATGCCTAGTCATAATATGGAAGAATTTTACAATGGGTTTTCCCAGTTAGAAGACTACTACTTTCCATCAGTTAATTAAACTATCCATTTTAATAACACATGACACTTTATCTTTTATCTTAAAAAAGTCACTTTGTACTCAGATTATCTATATTATTTAATTTTTTTCATCTGTATTAATTCACTACCTATTTGAAATGAATTTTCTTTTCATCTCTCTCTTCTACCCCATTTCACCATCATCTACCTTCAAGCAAAAATTAACAGAGATTGGGACTATACAAATGTACAAAAAAAGAGTGAAATGTACCTAGTTCAGCTCTTAGGGAACCTCTCCTGCCAATGCTCTTCTTCCTTAGCATGCTGCTAGACCATTCAGTTTCAATTTGTTCCAAGTGCAGGACTCAAATGGTATAGCCAAAGAAAGTCTTATGACAAATATGAGGCAAATTTCCGTCCAAAAGTAAGAAGAAATGTAACAAGAACAAACTATGACTCATGTCATATGGGTTATCGGCAGAAGGATCAGACAATTAAATGAGTGTAATCCACTTAGTAAAACAACTATCAATAGAGTTGTTCCAAATGAAAAATAGCACTACAAGTTTGTAAAGGTGTTGGGACATACAAGCTACTGAGCTGAAAATATACACTTGCTCTTTTCCATGAATTTTTCTAATAATGCCTCTGCTTGGTCTCCCTAATAAGCTTACTAGAATGATGTCAGTTACTTTAGTAATTTATGGTTGTAGTCTTGCCAAGTAATTGCTATGCGGGAGGGAAGAGAATGGCCAAGAAAGCTGCACACTTTCAGTCAATATGGATTGCTCGAATATACGGCAGGGATGGAAATCAGAACAGTACGCTTTTATAAAGAGCACATCAAATCTAAAGAAAAATGAGAGCATCTCTGCTGAAAACAGGAAAGGACACAAACTGACATAATCACAAACGAACAAGTGCTAACAGACAATATGAAAAATGCTTAATCTAACTTTCTTTAAAAATGCAAAATGGGGCTGGGTGCTTTGACTTATGTCTGTAATCTCAGTGATTTGGGAGGCCTAGATGGGAGGATTGCTGGAGCCCAGAAATTTGAGACCAGCCAGAAAAGACCTCTTTTCTAAATAAATAAATAAATAAATAAATAAATAAATAAATAAATAAAATTATCTGGGTGTGGTGGCACATGCCTATAGTCCCAGCTACTAGGGAGGTTGAGAGGTAGAAGGATCCCCTGAGCCCAGGAGGTAGAGACTGTGGTGAGCCATGATGGCACCACTGCACTCTAGCCTGGGTAACAGAGTGAGACCCTCAACTCAAAAGAATTTTAAAAAGAAGCAAAATAGGACAACAGGATACTCTCCCTTCTATCAGTATGGCAAAAATAAAAAGGAAAGATAACATAGAGTGTGAGTGGAGTATAAGGTATCTCTTTGTGTGTTGTTGGGGAGAGAGTAAACTGGCATATATTTCCTACAGGGCAATATGACAGTCTTAAATATCCTAAAAAAGTGAACCAACCCCTTCGACCTAGTTATCATATCTCCAGAAATTTATTCCAAGGAAATAATTTAATTAGATAAGATTGTTCACTGAAGCCTTGCTTATAATACACCCCCTTTTTATTTTTCATTTTTACCTCTATATTTTGTTTTTCCTACAATGACCTTTTTGGGAAAGTTTTGTTTTGTTTTTTGCTTTTTGTTTTGTTCTAGAAGAAACTGTACAAGTTTATTTTCTACTATAATTACCCTGTGTTTCTTTACTGGGGTAGACAGGGACAAGCACTGTCCTTTTACTTTGCTAATGATACCTCTGGGTCCTTCTTAAGCATCTCTGGTCCTTTTTCTTGTTGTTGCTGCTGCTAACTTTTAAAGGAATCTGTTCTTGGGGATCATTTTCATGATGAAATGTTTATAAAGTACTTCAAAGATCTTGCTTTTTTTCTTTTGCTGATGAAATGTTTATAAAGTACTTCAAAGATCTTGCTTTTTTTCTTTTGCTGATCCCACTGGTAGTATCCAGAAATCACTGGAGAAAGTGCTCTGTGTGTCACATTCCTGGCTTAGCAGTCTCATTTCTTTTTTGCTAAATGGAAACTCAAAAGTTCTGTTAAGTTGGCAAAGGGAAAACTCCTGGAACGGCGGAGAGCCAAGCACAGTCTCCACTCAAAACGTCTGAGTAGGTACAAGGTTCACACGTGTTTCTTCAGAGGCCACCATCCTCCCCTACGTTGGGAAGGGAGCTGGAGGATAAGAAGGGTGTAACTGAGTCTCCTCGAAAGAGGGACTGATGGGACGTCCCACCGAAAAAGCTGGTAGCACCCAGTTGACTGCCTTCCAACAGGTGCAGAGTCTCAGCCTCCCCTCACAGGCAAGACAACTCTCCGTGCACCATCTGGAGACTCAGCTTTCTCAGAGCGGCTACTTTGCTTTTATCCAATTTTTAATAAATAATCCACACACGAAAAAATGATCACGACGTGTAAGCATTTAACTTGTGCAGGAAAACAGGGCCACCTATCATCTCCCAAACTGGGAAGTCACCCAACTGGGAAGTCGGGGCCATTCCAGCCTGGGGATTTAAACTTGGAGCCTTGGACAAGTCAGAACTCCGCGTTCATTCCGGAGTGAGCCACCACACCAGTTTCCAGGCGACGTCTGGAGGCTTCCGAGGTTATTTGCCTCTCCATTCTCTTTTTGGCCACTCGCCCGCCCTCCCGCCCTTGGAAACTCGCAGACCCCAGAACCTCTGCCTTCTGCTTCCCAGAGGTGGCCTGGCCCCCTCCACCTCCCTGGCGGTGGCCCAGCCACCACGTCTTTAGCTGGAGATCGAAATCCTCGAGAACCAACCCCGGGACGCTCTGGATCCGGGTGGAACCACGCTTTCACGGTCTCCAAATCGGCCCCCCCCTCGGACTTGCGCCCTTCGCGGCGCGGGGGGGGGGGGATCAGACCTGAGAAAAGCGCCCGGGGCCACAGGCAGCCGCCGAGGCGGGGAGGAACAACCTTCCCTCCGCCCGGGAACCACGAGGCCAGGGTGGGGCGGCCTCGTCGGGGCCGGGCTCCTCTCCTTCGCCAGCCGGGATCCCCCCACCGGAGCTGGCGTGGGGGGCGGGGAGGAGGCCAGAGGGGCTCCCTTCTCTGCCCAAACCCCGCCAGATGTTGGAAAGGCAAACAATAGGGGCAACGCGGAGAAACAAAAGGCCACTCGCCACGATCTCCGTCGGCTGTGTCGCCGGTCCCCGCGGGGAGGGCGCGCGGGAGAGGGTCAGGAAGGGGGCGAAGGAGGACCCCGGGGGTTTAGAGCCTCTGGTGCTTGCCAGGAGCCAGGAGTCGGTCCTTTACCATCCCAGGGGGGTCTGGCGGGGGGGGGGGGGGATCCATGAAAAGTTGACGGGGTTTCATCTTCTTTCCCAGTTCAGAGAAGGGAGGGGCTGGGAGATGCCAGATGTATGACAGTTCGTTGTTGGCCCAAGAGCGCAGCGGGGCTTTGCGCGTCCTTCCTGCACCCCCGCCCCCAGGAAGCATCGACACCCCGGGGCGACCTGGCTGACGGTGCGGAGTTCCCCGACGCAGCCACGAGCCGAGTCTCCTCCCTCAAGATCCAGACGCCCCAGCGGCGTCCCCCTGGCCGGGCGCACTTTGGTCAAAGTTTGTCTTCCCGCCACGCACCGCCCGGCACGCACCCTGCGAGCACCCGCGCTGCGGGGTGGGCGCGGGGACAGACCGGCACCCCGGAGGAAGGAGGATTTTGCGGGTGTTTCTCTTGGAAAACCAAGGCCACAGAGCCCGGGGAGGGAAGGGGACTCTTGCTCCTGCCGGGAAGTGCGCACGAGAAGCCGGCCAGGAGCCGCGGCCCCGGCTCGTGTCGATCGGGGACTTCGGCCCCGGAAGCCCGCGGCCGGTCGGCTGGAGAGCGGGGCCCAGCCCCTCCCGCCCCCCGTGGCACCCGCCCCCGGGGGCGCCCGGCACCTCGGCCCGCCCGGCGACCCCGGGAGCGAGCGGCTGCCGGGCGGCGCAGTCTCGCCTCTCTCGGAGCGGGTTCCCACTCACCGTGCGGTGGTGCCTCCAGCCCGGGCCCCGAGGACCGTCTTCGCGGGCTCGGCGGCAGCCGGCGCTAAAGGAAAGGGGGGAGCTCTGGGCAGGTGGGGCGACGCTTGCCGATGCACTCTGGGGGCTCTCCAGCCCGCGCGCGCGGTCCCAGCGAGCCGGCCACGGGGCTCCGGCGGCCGCCACCGAGCTCAAGAGCAGCCCCCACAGGCACCCAGCGCGCCGCGCGGTCCGCCGGGGTCCGATCGTCGCGCGGGGGGCCCCTGGCGGCCGCCTGTGGAATGGCAGCCCCGTGCGGGCGAGGAGTCGGGTCGTCTCGAGGATCATCTTCCCTCGGTAGAGGGGTGGGACCGTGAGCAGTCTAGAGGGGGCTCCCAGCCTTGCAGAAAACCTCCGGCCAGGGCAGCGAAGAGGATGTCGGATAGGAAAGGATGCGTTCTGGGTCCACAACGGCCACTTCTAAGGCACCCAGAGAGAGGGAAGTGGCTCACATGCTCCAGGACTTTCTGATTGTTGAAAAAAGTCATGGGCTGCCCGACACAAAGCAGAGGATTAATCATTTGGAAATACTCTGAGATTCTAGGAGATTTCCTAGCACGAGATGGGATTAATGGATGAGCATGGACTCATCATCAAGCCCAACCCACAGCCCACCGCTTTCTATTTGTGTGATCCTGGTCTATACATAGAACCTTTAAGTCTCAGTGTCTGCTCTGTAAATCGAAGGGATCAATACCTTGCAGGATGGTTGTTAAGGTAGATTAAACAGAGAAAGTTTTCTTAGTTTACAGTAAGAGTCATCAAATATCTGAGAAAAAGTATTGGGTCTTCCACATCTTTTAATTCTCCATGTGATTACGTCTTAATGCATACTGATTATATATATTATAGAACCACTATTGTATAGTTCTCACTCTACACTTTAAACAGGTTTGGAAATATGTTAAGTAGAAGTTTGGATATATGGAGAAAACGTCCCTCCTTCAAAAAGAGACTTCTACAGTTGCTAAATGAGACTCCTAAAATCACATTCATCGTTTGCAATAGCAAGTCACCTTGGATATCCTAAGAAACATTTAATATACAGTCATGGTCTCATGACATCAACTCTGGATTAAATGAGTGTTTTTAATTCTGTGTCATTTGTGCAATGCAGATATATTGATGATTGTGACTACAATACTAAAACATTAGGAGGAGAACTGCCAGACACCAACCACTAAGCAATATTTCTGTCCATCACTGAGGAATGCAACCTTATTTCCAAAACTGCCCCATTTTTAGACACTCCAACCCCATCACTGCATGTAAAGCTTCTTTTGTCCTTTTCATCAAAAAAAGCTTTCCATCATCCAGGAGAATTAGGATGGAAGTGTCTCTTAATCACACCAGTTTACTTTTATTAGTCTTACTCACCATTGCCTGCCTAAGAATTCCTATTATATAATTTTTCCCTACTTGTCAAGAGGAGAGGAAAAATAAGATTTCTTGTCTTGCAAAATAAAGCAGACTATGAAGATCCATCTTTTGCCCTTGGAGGAGGGCTCACCCTTCAGGGTGCAGTTGAGGAGGTCATGGGCAGGGCTGAGGGGCATTCAATGATAACCACAAACATTAATGGAGCTGTCTCCACCTTTCTCCTTGGGTTTCAGCCTCATCCGTAGGGAAAAGAGAACTTTATCCCACTTCTACCCCATTAGTAGCTCTTTCTCTGGGGAAAAGTGGCAAATCTGGAGGTTGGGAAGGAGACTTTTTTATTTCTTGGATAATTGTCACCAAGGAGTAGGGCCACCCACTCTGAACCAGCTTCTCTGTCTGTGACCAGGTGGCTGGAGGAGAACATCTCAGCCTTCAGAATCTGTTCTGAAGGGCCAGGATTCTAGGTGCAAGCCCTACTTGGTCCTGGGCTACATCTCATTCTCCAATCCTGCTTTGATCACTGTACTGCATAGGTGTTATATATAGGTGTTATATTGACCCTATCATGAATGCAGTGAGATATTGTTCCCATTGGCTATTGTTTCTCGTGAGTATATTTCTTTCATGTTTGGAAAAGCAATCTGAAGGGAAAGAATGGGGGAGGAGGGACATTCAGGTACCAAAAGTTCACTCGTGCCGAGCTGATCTTCCTTGTCAATCAGGCTCCCACTGCAGTCTTCCCCATCTCCGTGCCTGGCCACAACTTACAATTGCTCAGGCTCCAAACAATGGCTGTGAAAATATATGTCACATCATGTCACTCTGCTGCTCAGAATCCTCCTTTGGCTTTTGATCTTACTCAGAGTAAAACTAGCACAAACTGACATCCTTTATTTCTGACCTCATCACCTACTGGCCTTCCCACCATAAATGTCTCTCCATCCACCATGCCCTCCTTTGTTCCCAGAAATGTCAGGAAGCTCCTATCACAGGACTTTGATACTTATACCCTCTTCCAGGAACAGTCTTTCTGAACGCTCAGATAATTTGTGGCTAACTACCTCACTTCCTGCAGGTCTCTTTGCTGAAAAGTCACCAGAAGTCTCCCCTCTCAATCTCATATAAAATTAGACTTTACATATTCTATTGCATTTAATTCTCACAAGACTTCTATGTGGTAAGTACAGGTGAGGGAACTATGGGCTAGAAAGTTGAAATATCTTGCCCAAGGCTATGCAACTAATTTGTCCAGGTTTTAAACTTGGCAGTGTGACTTAAGCCCATGACTGTAACCCTCATCCTCTCCTTCTGACAATCCCTATCCACATTCTTGGTTCCAATTTTCTCCTTAGAATTTGGTGTCATGTGACTGGGCTCATGCCTATAATCCCAGCAATTTGGGAGGCTGAGGCGGGAGGATTGCTTGAGGCCACGAGTTCGAGACCAACCTGGGCAACATAGTAAGACCTCATCTCAATAACAACAATGAAAAATATAACTTGGCATGGTGGTGCGTGCCTGTAGTTCCAGTTACTCAGGAGGTCTGAGGCAGAAGGATCGCCTAAACCCAGGAGATTGAGGCTGTGGTAAGCCATGATCATTTGACTGTAATCCAGCCTGGGCAACAGAGTGAGACCCTGACTCAAAAAAATAAAAATAAAGAATTTTCTTGTCCTCCAATACACTATGTGTTTTTCTTATTTTGTTTACTGCCTATTAGCTTTCTATGGCTGCAGGGCAAATTACCACAAACTCAGTGACTTAACACAATACAAATTAATTATCTTATATTTCTGGAGATTAGAAGTCCAACAAAGGTTTCAATGGGCTAAATCAAGGGTTGGCAGGACTGCATTCCTCTCTGAAGTGTATAGGGGAGAATCCATCCCCTTGTTTTTACTGGCTTCTGAAGGCCGCCTGCATTTCTTGGTTCATGGTCCCTTTCTCCATCGTAAAGGCAGCAATGACAACAGAATACTTCTCATATTGCATCACTCTGATCTTTCACCTTCCTCTTCTACTTATAAGGGCTCTTCTGATTACATTGAGCCCATCCACACAATCCAGGATTATCTGCCTCTATTAGAGTCAGCTGATTACCAACCTTAATTCCATCTACAACCTAATTCCCCTTTGTCATGTAATGTAGCATATTCACAGGTTATGGAGATGAGTGTCTACATCTTTGGGGACCATTATTCAATCTACCTATACTGCCTTACTCTTTCCATGAGAATGAATGTAAACTCCTTGAGACAGGGATTTTAGTCTATTTAGTTCATTGTTCCATCCCTAGATTTGCCTGATAAATGTATGGGAAATTTATATCAACTGAATTGTATCCCCCCTTCAAATTCATAGGTTGAAGCCCTAACCCCCAAAGAAATAATATTTGGAGATGAGGCCTTTGGAAGGTAATTAGGCTTAGATGAGATCATGAGAGTGAACCCCTCACTATGGGATTAGGGTGGCTTTATTAGAAGAGGAAGAGCAAGAGATCATTCTCTCTCTCTACCATGTAAGAACACAACAAAAACATGGCTGTCTACAAGCCAGGAAAAAGCCTTCTCCAGAAACCAAATAGTCCATCACCTTGGTCTTGGACATTTCCACCTCCAGAACTGTGAAATACATGTGTGTTGTGTAAGCCACTCAGTCTTTGGTATTTTGTGATGGCAGTGCAAGCAGAACAATGCAATACTCAATAAATAATTCTTGAAGTCATCAATAGATCTCACTAAGGGCTCTGCAAATACTTAATATCGGTTAAGAACTTACACTTCCGGTGTGGAGTCTGAAGATGTCATGCAGAAATGGTACCTAGAAAGGGGAAGGAAAAGAAGGAAGAACTGTTATAGAGTGTTTTTAATGACTCCTGATTTATTGGCATGGAAACAGTATGATTCCCCTAGTGCTACGGAGAGTCCTCCTTGGGACAGGAATAATAAATCTAGACCTCTGAGAAAAAAAAAAAAGGAAGAACTGGTCATCAGCCTTAGGCCACAGGTGGCTGAAGGAGAGAATGTATTTGACGTCTGACATATCTTCGCATCTTTAATAACACCTTTGTCCGTGTCACTGATCTTTTTGGCAAGGAGAACATCTGCCATGTGACTGGGGGCACGAAGGTGAAGGCCGACCGCGACGAGTCCTTGCCATACGCTGCCATGCTGGCTGCCCAGGATGTAGCCCACAGGTGCAAGGAGCTGGGCATCACAGCCCTACGCATTAAACTTAAGGCCATGGGGGGAAACAGGACCAAGACCCTTGGACCTGGGGTTCAGTCAGTCCTCAGAGCCCTCGCCCACTTGGGTATGAAGATTGGGCAGATTGAGGACGTCACCCCATCCCTTCTGACAGCACTCACAGGAAGGGAGGTGGTCGCCATCTGTGAACAGGACTCCTCAAAATATTTCTGTTAATAAACTGACTTGTTGTAAACTAAAAAAAAAAAAAAAGAAAAGAAAGAAAAGCACTTACAACATGCCAGGTACGTGTTAAGCACGTTACATAGACTATCTCACTTAATTCTCACAAGATCTCTATGTGGTAGGTACAAGTGAGGAAACTATAGGCTAGAAAATTGAAATGACTTGTCCAAGGTCATGCAGCTGGCAGCTAGTACATCTGTGTGGCCAGATCATAAACTTGGCAGTGTGACTTGAGCCCATATTGTTACCCTTGTACTCTCCTGCTACCATCATGTGGCAATAGGCAACCCTGGATCTTACCCTCAAAATTCTCT